GCGGGGGGGGGGGGGGGGGGGGGGGTTCGGCCAAGGAAAAGGGGAATTTGGGGCCCCGGGTAGCCAAAATCCCGGGGGCGGGAGGTGCCCCCCGCCGGGGACCCCCAAGGTGTTGGAAAAGGGTTCCCCAAATTCGTTCCCCCGGGTTTTCCAACCCCCGCCTTTGGGTCCCACCCTCCCCTGGGCCCCTTTTTCCCCCCTGGGAAAACCCCCCCCCCCCCCCCCCCCCCCCCCCGAATGCTCCGTGCTCTCGAGATCGCGTCGTCAATGGTCTAACCGTTAAAACATACTTCACGCATAATAACCCGTAGCCTTCGGAGGGTTTTTCTAGTAAGCAAACACGTCGGAAAAAGCATGCAATCGGGGAAATTGGGTTAGGGTTAGGGATAGGGAAATACGTCTGCGTACCCCCTCCCTGTTCCAATTCCTCGCTAACTTCATTTCTCGCGAAAGGCGGTCTTACAAAAGACGAGTATCCCCCCCCACGCCGACGCCATAGAAAACAGAAAGCTTGTGTCTGCTCGGCCGAAACGCGCCCATTCTCAGACACTCTTACCAACAACACTCCATGTGGGACTCGGGATAGGACTCAAAAGACAACCTACCGCGGAGAGTGACGACGAAACGACTCGTGGAGCAGCACGAGTAGCCATTTGGGATAGACTCAACAGGGACGCCAAAACGACTCGTGGAGCAGCACGAGTAGCCATCCGCCCCCCCGCAAAACTACGACAAACGCTTCCTCAAAAGCACAAAGAAACCAACCTGACCGTGCGCCCCCCCCCCCCCCCCAAAAAAAACTCCAAAAACAAAAACCTCCCCCAAATCCCCCCAAAACGACGGGAACCTGCGCCCTCCCCGTAAAGCCACCACACACACATACACCTCCTTACACACACCAATCAGAACGTGTGGCCGCCACCCCGCAAAACCACAACACACACACGCGCGCATCCTCACCTGGACGTGAGCCTCCTGCCACCCCGGCCTAGCCTCCTTGATGGCGATCCCGATCTCTCGGAGGTGCGCCCCAGACAGCGCCTGCATGATATCCCCGTGCTCGATCCCCTCCTTCTCCCTCTCCTCGCCGCCGCCGGCTGTGGCCTCCGGCGGAACGCCCGAGGACGACGCTCCTGAGGAGACTCCGTCTTGGCCCGGCTTGTTGGCGCTCTCGGCGACGAGGAGAACCATGCGGGCGACCACCACCATCTCGTCGTCTCCACTCAGGGCGTCCGTGCTATCCTGGAGGGGGGGGGGGGGAGGGAAGGAGAGAGAGGGAGAGGGAGCGAGAATGAGAGAGGGAGCGAGAATGAGAGAGGGAGAGAAATAACGAGAAAGAGAACGAACGGACGGGCGAGAGAGCATGAGAAAGAGACGAGAGAAAGAGAAAAAGAAGAGTGTGTGTGTGTGTGTGACAGAGAGAGAGAGAGAGAGAGAGAGAGAGAGAGATCAAGTAGCGAAGTGGGGTGTAAAAGGGCTGGCGTGGCCAGGTCAAGCCCGGGTGGCATCTTCGTCTTTACCTCACCGCCATTGATTCGCGCTACGTAACCGGCCGACCAATGACCAAAATTCCGCCACGTCTTAGCCCGGAAAAATACCCTCCCCCAGCCCCCAACAACAACGTATTCTACACGGCGGAGGCCGCCTAGTTGGCGGGTGGTCACAGGAGAATCTACAAGACTAAAACACACACAACAAAAGTGCGCACCTTGAACTCGTCCCAGAAGATGTCCTCCGGCGAGGGCACCTTCGAAGGTCTCGTCGGCGTGAGGGCTCTCTGCAGCGTCTTGCGGCTGCTGGTCGAGCCGTCCCAGGATAAGGCCAGCAAGCACGCAAGGAGAGACTGAGCGATGCAGCCGGGGAGTGGGGGGGGGGCGGCGGCAAGGCAAATAGATGAATCGTTAGGAAGGTCGGGGAAGAACGGTCGGCAGGACACCTTGACGGCACGTACGGATAGGGCTTGAGGGAACGACAGCAGGATAAAAAAAAAAAGAGTATTGCACCACGATTCTTGCCTGCCAACTGCCAACAAACACACAGCGTCACTACCGATATAAAAAGTTTACCACTCCGGGGAACCGAAGCCATGCCAACTTTTCCGAGTCAATCCCCCCCCCCCCTCAACACCACCCTTTGCTTGTTGGCCAAATGACGCCTCTCTCTTCTTCCTCCTCCTTAATGCTCCAACACGTGGTTTGGTCGTTTGGACCGCAGTGGGTGGGTGCATCAAAACCACACAGCTCGTAAAAACAGCCAAGCCAAGCCAAGCCAAGCCAAGACGCCAACGCAGGTGCTCGACTCCAGTATCAGCCGGCCGCCCGGTCGGTGCACCTTCTGCTGCTCAGCGTCCGTGCCGCTGGTGCTGGAAAAGAAGCGGCTCTCCCCCTCCGGGTTCCCCTCCGATGTCCCGTCGCACTGCCAGATGATCTCATACACCGGCGGAACATTCTCCGCGTTCTGCATCACCGTCAGGCGCTTGTAGTTGCCCTGCCCAAGAAAACACGACAGTTTCTTCCGATTATAAGAAATAGTTTTCCCTGTAAAAACGTAGCATTTCCTCTTTGGTTCAATCATTTCTCTCAAATGGTCTTCCATACTACTTTTAAAGTATGTATCTATAGGAAAATCATTCTCTTACATACTGTACCAGGTGCAAAAATTACACAAACGAAGGGCACCTACCTCCATCTAGTTACATACCTCGGTTCTCCGGAAGTGGCTGTACATCCTCATCGCGCAGAACGCGATCTCAGTTGTGGTCATGAATTTGAAGCCCTTAGCCGCGATCGTCTATACAATATACAATATATAGTGGTGGTGCGATTCAAGCGAAGGGGGGGGGGGGGTACGGTCACAGGGGGGATTCGACCAATTGCGTTCGTTTGGTGGTGGTTCCTTGTTTGCTGTTGCTGTCGTCATTCGAAAACCGTTCCGGGTACCCCGTCGAGCGCCGCAAGAGGAGGAAAGGCGCAGGCAAGGCAGCAGGGTTGCACAGCAGCAGCAATACATAGCCGCGTAGATGCAGCGGGACGAGCGGAACTAACAGCCCGGACGTAAAAAAAAAAAAAACGTCGCACGGAGCCACCCACGCTTACCACAGGAACCAAGCGACAGCTCGATGCAGCACAACATAGCCCATCACTGCTGTGTTACCTCAGTACACGGAAAAGCACAGAGACACAACCGCCACGTGCCGTCGCATTCTGGGTGCCCCGCCACACCGCCGTCTCCCAACACAGGCGACATGCTCGTCTGCCTAGGGCTCGGCTCGCGGCACTTGCCTAGCATGCCGTTTCACCCCAGAGGGCAACACCCCCTCCTATCCCCGCCCTCGCAGCTACTACCCACCGCGATCATGACCGTGTAGACAGGATGCGCCGGAGGGCAACACCCCCCCCCCCCCC